AAATCATTTGGATTAATCATCCTTACAAGAAAAACCAAAGGGACGAAGAATGCCTGTCTTCTAGTCTCTGACACGTGATTGGATGAACAATGTGTAGAGCGCATGCATGTGGCCTATATTTTAGACAGATGTTGCAAATAGACTTAGATTTATATCCACAACTGAACATGAAGAGGAGAGTAGCTAGATGACCTTTGGGAAAGTGCAAATCCTTGAGTGACCTCATATTTCTCCCTAGAACAAAGACTTACCTTTTTAAGGTCAACATTTTTCTGCCATTGGAAGGACATGGTGGATCTGACTCCAAAGTCAGAGAATATTGTGATGTGCAATCCTGCCATGATCTCACAGTGAATAATAATAATAATAATAATAATAATAACAATAATAATAATAATAGTAGTAGTAGCTAGCATTTATATAACAAATTAAAGTGTGCAAAGCCCTTTGACATGTAACACATGTGTTGTGAAAGGAATACCACATAACTCACACAGCCCCAACAACTTACGGGGGATCTTGGCAAACTCAACCTCAACTTGCCAAACAATTGGAAGAGGATGATCCAGACTTTACAAGGTTGTGTAAAAGCATGAAAATACACCAAGAAGCAAGGCCAAGCTATCGTGCACTGCACAACCACAAAGCTTGAGCTTAAGCCGTCCTCCACTTAGTACTGTATTTTTTGTCCCCAAATGGCATCACATTCCTCAGAAGATCCCTAACCTTCCACTTCAGGGAAGACAAGGCATCCCCTCAAGCCAAAGCAACCAACTTCCAATTCAGATGAAGATGATGATGATGATTCATGAGCTTCATGAGTGAGCGATTGTTGTTCCATTGCCCCCCACTGGACCTCACCTTCACCTTCTCTTTCTCTCCCTCCTCCTACCACCTCCACACTCACACACCTTCTTCGCTCCTTTTGGTAAGTACCATCAACTGAACACTGAACACTGCCTTTTTTCAAAAGTTTGCATTTTTAAAATGTTGTGTATTTGGATAGAATATTAAATACGTGTTTCTTTTTACTGTTAACTATTCATTAATAACATTGTCATTCATTAACTATCTAAAACATTTTATGTGCAGTTAAGTAAAAGATAGAAATTGGGTAATAGTGATGTATATAGTGCAAAGGTATGTGGTTTTGTCATTATACGGACTTCTCTCCAACAGATAAGTCCTAGGGAGTTGCATGAGACCCGGAGAGCTAGTGTCAGAGGTGAGAACTGAATCCAGTTCTTTTTTATTTTAAACCCAACACTCATTCCACTCCACCAGGATGCAGCCCTATAGGGCAGTCATTAAATCCGTCACCCACCTCAAGGATGCAGACTCCTTGAGGAAAGGGACTATTTTACTTCACTTTGAATTCCAAGTGCCAGGAAAGCTTAGTGAGAGATCCAACCAAGTAAAGACATTGCAAGGGTGTCTGAGGATGAAACTGGGAGGACAAAAAACCTAAGAAAAGATAGAACAGATCTGCACATATTTTTTCTTAATAAAAAAGAATCATTTTACTGTCAAAGACAGTGGAGCCACTTTCTAACACTGTGATCTTAGATGTGCTTATAGAGATGGCGGAAATAACACTAAAGAAAACAAAGAGCAAAGCAAACGGGGTTAGACCAGGAGTACATGGAAAAGGTATGGGGCATTCTGGTGCAATGTAATTTTGAGAAAACCGAAGGATATATTCTTAAAGTACCTAAAATAGAGGAAAATACTACAATCATGAAAAACATTTTGGATGCTATTAATGCCAAAAATGTTGGATGAAAGATCATCAACAACTAATAACCAATATACATACCGACAGCAGCGTGCAGCCCATCTGTTCTGGACTCTCTCCCAGGGCCTTCTCCAGTGCTGAGCCCAGAACAAAGGGCTACTTCTGGGGCCTCCCTGGACTTCTTCATCCCCCTTCCTCATTCTCTGAAATTATATGGGTGTATAATCTGTAATCACACCCGTTGCAGTCTGTTAATTGATTCTCATTCTATCCACCTTAAGCCAAAATGACCAGATTTCTTGTGAAATCAAATTTAGTGTTGCCTTTGGGTATACACAGAGAGAGAGATAGACAGACAGACAGACAGACACAGACAGAGAAAGACAGAGACAGAGAGAAACAGAGACAGAGAGAGAGACACAGAGAGAGAGACAGACAGACAGACAGACACAGACAAAGACAGAGACAGAGAGAGACAGAGACAGAGAGAGAGACACAGAGAGAGAGAGACAGACAGAGACAGAGAGAGACAGAGACAGAGAGACAGAAACAGAGAGAGACAGACAGAGACAGAGAGAGACAGACAGACAGAGACAGAGAGAGACAGAGACAGAGAGACAGAAACAGAGAGAGACACAGAGAGAGAGGCAGGCAGAAACAGAGACAGAGAGACACAGAGACACAGAGAGAGACTGAGACCGAGACAGAGACAGACAGACAGAGAGAGAGTTTCACTACAATAAAGGCAGCTAGGTGGTTCAGTAGCTAAAGCCCCAGACCTGGAGTGAGAAGATCCAAGTTCAAATTTAGATTCAGACACTCACTGGCTTTGTGACCCAGACAAGTCACCTAACCTCTGTCTGCCTCAGTTCGCTCAATTGTAAATTAGGGATCATAATAACACCTACTTTCCAGAGTTGTTGTGAGGATACATTGAGACATTTGTAAAGTCCTTTGCAAACCTTAAAGGGCTGTATAATAAGACTGGGGGTTGATTGGGTTGAGCACTCAGGAGCATAGTTACTAACCTTTGTGACACACATGCGTAGTAAAGCACAACCTAATTCCTGCATAGGCCATGTCCCACAGTTTTATCTCAGTTTGCACCCTGACTCTTATCAGTTCCACGTCAGGAGATGGGCAGCTCATTTCATCATGAGTCCTCTGGAATTGTGTCTGGTCTTTGTATTAATCAGAGTGTTTAAGTCCTCAAAGTTGATTGACTTTACAATGTTGCTATGGTAGAAATTGTTCTCCTGGTTTTGCTCACTTCACTCTGCATCAGTTCATACAGGTTTTCCCAGGTTCTTCTGAAACTGTTCCTTTAACATTTTTTTATAGCACAATGGTATTCCATTATGTACCATTATCTGTTCATCCATTCTTCAATTAATGAGCACCCCTTCAATTTACACTTCTTTGCTGCCACAAAAGGGGCTGCCATAAATATATTTTTGAACATAATATTCCCTTTCCTGATCGCATTACTTGCTTGCCAATTGAATAATATGTCCTGCAATCTTTTGCTTAATCACCAGTGAAAAAAGAGGAACCATCAACAAAACAGAGGTATTTGAGGCATTCCTTTCCTCCAAAAGGAATAAGTGGAGAAATTATTCAATTGTCAAATACCCCAAACAACATAAGCATTATAATCATAAAAATGAAAATAATGAAGACAATTACCTTATTTTTGTAGATTATTATTTTTTCAAGAGTTGATGTGTAGTGTAAAAGAAACTATAATACTAATCACTATATGTTATGTCTACTTTGTTTTTATTACCATATGATTGTTGAGTACCACATTTCGATGGGAGGTCAGATGCATTGGCATGAACCCTGTATTAAGGGTCAGATGACCAGGTTGTGGCTTTATCGCTTGTTACTTACATGGGCAAGTCACTTCACATCTCTGAATCTGTCTTCTCATTTTTAAACTAGGCTTTCCTCTTCCAGCTCTCAATGCAAAGCTATGATCTTACGAAGCACTCCCAATATGTGTATTTAGGGGGCAGGAGGCAGACCTATGAATTCACCAATGTAGGGAACTTCTAGTTGGGGAACTCTCTCCATCAATGCAGATCACCTGTAAGTATAATCTTAGAAAATCACCTGGGGCCTAAGGTTGGGCTCAAGCCCACAGATTCCTAACTCCAAGGCCACTCCTCTATGCAACACTGCGGCTTAATTATTGAGCTTATTCATTATTCATTAAATATTCCTAGTGATTCGTTTCAGGGGTTTAATTCATCTGAAAGCAGAATGCCAGAATCTTGAAGAACCTGCAATTAACTGTCTTTTCAAGCTCCTATAGTTTAATTGTACAGAGTAAATATTAGTCATTATGTCAGGGGGAAATCCAAGAATTATTCCAACTTCGATCAGATTACAATTGTTGTGAAATTATATGACAAACATGAAGGGGTAACAGTATGAAAAAGGAAAACAATAGTGAAAGACATCACTTGTCAATGCATCGAGTGATCTTGATTTCAGAGGACTAATGGTGAAACACACATCTCCCTTCTTTTTGGCAGAGAGGTAGTAGATGCTGGGAGCTGAATGAGGTATACAGATATGGCCAATATGTTGGGTTTATTTGTTTGCTTGGCTTAAATATGCATCTTTGTTACAAGAGAGGGTTCTATTGGGAGTCCCTTCCCTATCGGAGTCATTGGGCAATGATTAGGATATGTAAGAAATCAATAACATATTTATTATTTTAGACATCTTTTATTTTTTCCAATAACATGTAAAGCTTTTTTTAACATTCATTTTTTTTAAAACCTCAAGTTCCAAATTCTCTCCCCCCCTACCATTGAGAAGGCAAGCAACAAGAAAGTAATAAAATATTTATTTAAAAAATGAAAGGTACAGAAAATATAAAGCTTAAAAATATAAAATTCTGGTCCCAAAACATTGCTAGAGTTTGCTCATATTACCAAATGATATTTTTTATGAAGTCCTCAGAAACAGCAGAGTGTAATCATAGAGTACTGGATTTGGACCCAGGGGATCTGTGTTCAAATTCTTACTCTAGTACTTAGCTTTTTTGCTCTGTGCATATGCCTTAATCTCAATTCCCTCCTCTGCAAGATGGTGACAACCATGCTTACAGTGCCCACCTCGCAAAGTTCTGTTATGAAGCCTCTGTTGGGTTGACTTTGATGCACATTGGAAATATGCGTTATTACTGTACTAAACCCCCAGAGTATTTCTTGCTTTGACATCTCTATTCCATTTGAATTTTTATTACTTCTAGAAACAAATACGAATGTTTTGAGTTCAGGAAATAAAGAAGAAATTGTCACAAAAAAGCGGAAAGGCAAAGAGAAGAAGAAAAAGAAGAAAAAGAAAATTCCCAAAGAAAGTGATGATATGGATGAGTCCTGGGAAAAAGAAGTGGAGAACCTGGTAGCCTGGACCAATGAACTCAACACAACCACATTAGAAGACTGAGCTTCACACACATGGCGAAGGAAGAATTCCCCTCTGCCCTCCCCAGGGTCAGGGCACTTTGTGCAGCCTGCTGCGCCTGCCGGTTCTGGTCCTTCTGAAATCCTCTTCTCATCCTGCTCAGCAGAAGCATCAAAATACAGATGAAAGTCATTGGAGACACAGAACTGAATAGCAATTTGCTTCAGTGTTTTGTACTAAGAGTTGTAGAGAAATTAGAACTGTCATTGGTGCTGTTTTTGTTCAGGGCACATGGTTCAAAATGCAGACTCGTTTAACTGGGGGGATGAAGAGAGCCAGGGACACCACCCCAATGACAGGAGATGAAGAGCCCTGGATACCCTGGGGAAATGGGACCTGCTACAAGGTGGGGCAATGAGAAGAACAGATTAATGGATGAGTCCTGCTAACTAGATTTTAAGCTCTGTTATTTCTATGCTACTAAAATGTATCGCAATTTAGGGGAAGGGTGGGGAACACCTGGTAGGAGTGTCCCCCTTGAGACTTTGGGCCAACATGAGAACATTGGGCATCTGAGAAGAGAAACTGTAGGAGGCAGAAGAGGATTACAGAGAGGGAAGTGGGAGAGTGCTCAAAACCAATTTTGTTTTGTTAAAATTTGACCTGAAGTCTATCCTCCTGGAAAGGAAGAGGAAATTCTCTTCTTCCTCCTTTCTGTACAACATGCTCCCAGCTCCTACTCCTGGGATCCAGAGATAAGGTTAATATATGAAAATTATAACTGCAGTTCTGCTACTGGGAACCTAACCCATGTTAGAAATGTCATTCCTATGGGGAAATGTGTTTTAAGTTTCAAATGAGCAACTTTCAGACTGTTTTGGATAGCACAGCCCTGCAGGATGGGAGACCATTTGTTCTCAATTCACTTCAATTTCAATTCAAATGAGAGAATAGAAATGAATTCCTATAAATCATAGGATGAGAAAAGCAAAGTAGCCTTAATGCACTGCAATGATCAGTCATCTCTATTCCACATTTCCAAATACGAGTCTATGATCCAGTGTTTAAACTTATGCCAATTATTTCGAGGGCAAATGATACAAATATAGTTTTACGTCAAAAAGGACCAATGACATCATCTGCCATTGCGTCAATTGTATGGTCTAACTACAGAAAGGAATGTCAGTGGATTTAGCACAGTCATGAGAAGAAGGCATTTTATTTGTCTCTGACGGTATCAGATAGTCTTTTTTTATACTTACAATCTCTCATCTCTCACCCATCTACTGGAGTATTCAGTTTGGAGGCTGTCTTTAATCTGATTTCAGCTTTTCATTCACATTCTTGGGGTCCCCATGGATATTGGCTCCTGGTTCTGCTCCACTCTACATCACCTGCTCTCTCTCTTCCTTTTTCCTCCCTCTGCCCCTCTTCCTTTCCTTCTTCCCTCTCTCCTTCCTTCTTTCCTATTGCTTCAATAAGTTAATTCTCAGTGCAAAAACTACCAATGCAGATGCACTTTTCTGCCATTGGTACTCTTGAGAGAGCTGCTGCATAAGGATACTGAGAGGTCAAATTACTTGCCAAGGGTCATACAGTAAGTATCCAAGTTCAGGCTTAAATCCATATCTCCCTGACCACAAGATGAAGTGTCCTACCAGACCACCTCACTTTGCTCGTCATTCATAAAGGTGCATTTTCCAATACACAGACCATGATTCATTCGGCCCCTTCCCCAATCAAACAACATCTACTTTGTTTCTAATTTTTTGCTATCACAAAATTGATTGGAAAATGCTTGTAGACATGAGGCCTTCTGTCCTTAAAACCCTTGGGGGAATGTGGCAAGCAGGAGGCTCTCTGGATCAAGGGTATGGAGAGTTTGGTAAAGAAGAAAGTATTCGAGATGCGTTTCCTCCACTAATGTCAAGGCTATCTCGATAAAGTGAAGGGGGAATTGAATCAGTTTCCAGGTAATTGGCCAGTGGAAAGGAAGGGCCAGGTTCAAGAGAAAGCCCAGGTGCAAAGACAGGCAACACCTGCACTTCATTTCATCACTTCTTCTTGGGCCAGCTGACTCCTCTGCTCTTAGGAGGGGAATTGAGATGAGTCAGGTTTATCCTGACTGCTTCACCAGTGACGTCCCACACTAGGCCAGAGCAGCCAATAGTAAGCATGATGAGATTTGAGAGGTAAAGCTGGAATGAATCTCAGAGGCTTTCAGTTCAACTCTCTCCTTTTACAGACAAAGAAACTGAGGCCAGGTTAAGTGACTTTCCCTAAGTCACATGGCTTTAACTGAGGTCCCTAACTACAGTCAGGACCCTTACCTCTGCAACACACTGCCTCCCACTAATCCTATTCAATCCAATAAACAGTAAGCACCTATAGACGTGGCCAGGCACTGTACTAATCACTGGGGATACAATTAATAAAACAATAATGGAACAGGCAGAGCAGCAGATGCAGAGTGGAGCCATCTGAGAGTTCAGTTTCTGCCCTCCAGAAAGGACAGCATTGGGTGGAGTTTGGTACCCAATCTTCAGCCCTCCAATCAGAGTGGGAAGGAGGCTGAGGCTTGAGTTGCAGCCTGGTGGTGTTTAGAAGTGATGAGTGATCGTGGGAGGAGCATCCTGGTTAGTGGGGTTGAACAAGTGGGCAGGGCAGCAGATGCCAGGTGGAGTTCTATTCTACCCAGCACCGCTGAGCTGAACGTAAATACAGGTAAGCTTGATTCCCAGCCTCCATTCTCAAAGTGGGGGGAGGGGCCAAAGAAGGTGGAGTGGGGCAAAAACCAGGCAACCCACAGACCTGGTCAAGCATGGTAATGTTATTGAATCCTGCTAACATTTTTCTACACCTGTGACTAAAGCATCCAGGCTATCTTTTTTTTGGGGGGAACTCCCACAAATGAGTTATTTTCTCAGAACAAAACCAACCCTCAGAGTGGATGTAGATGTGAGCCAGGGAATCCAGATTTAGAGCAAGGGGGAGTCAAAGACAACATTGAGTTCAATCCCCTCATTTTACACAGAAGGAAACTGAAAAGTGGCTTTCAGGCAGGGAATAAATAGAACCCTCAGTCCCCAGATCCCCTGTGCAGCTTCTGAGAGGTGCCATGCATCACTGGACCTGGAGTGTGAAGGCTGCCTTCAGGTCTCAGCTCTGCCGCTGGCTGGCTGTGTCCTCTTCAGCAAATCACCCGGATCCTGGGCCATCAGCTTCCAAGAAGGGCCATGCATCACTGGGCCTGGAATCTGAAGGCCTACCTTCAGATTTCAGCTCTGCCGCTGGCTGGTCCTCTTCAGCAAATCACCCAGCTCTTGGGCCATCAGCTTCTGAGTCAGAAAGATGGAGGGGCTTCTATGGCCCTTCTGGCTCTCAATCTATAAGGCAAGAAATGCTCTTTCTCATTAGTTGACAAACCCCAAATTGAAACAAAAATGGTAGTTTTATGATTTATACAGCTATGTATGTGAGTTCATAGGGCAATCCCAGGGTTATGGTTCCAGGATGGAACTCAACCACTGTTCTCCCAGGCTCCCCTCCGAGTTCACTCTTAGCTGTCTGCGCATTCCTTCTCACTTTCCTTTGCTGCATCATCATCCATGGCCCACTCTCTTTGCATGGGTTCTTTCTCAGGTCCTTTGCCCTCCCCTCCCTCCTCCCCTCCCCTCCCTTTCCCTCTCCTTCCCTCTCCTCTCCTCTTCTCACCTCCCTTCTCCTCTCCTCTCCTCCTATCTCCTAGTGATCTCATTAACTCGATGATCATCTCTCTCTGATCTATCTTGCCTACACGTCTCTCTTGACCTTCAATCCTGCATCACCAGAGCACCGGCTGGTCATTTCTTACCCGAGTGTCTCATGGGAATCAAGAACTCACTGTGCCCTTCCCCCTGCCCCAGGACCCTGCCCACGCCAATCTCTTCTGCTCACTTCTTTATTTCTGTCAAAGGCACCACCACCCCTCCGATCACTCAGGTTAGCAAACCTGGATTCATCCTAGGCTCTTTCCTCACCCATGTCTAATCAGTTGCATAAATCTGTTGGTTCGGTCTCCACAACATTTCTTGTCTCTTTTCTTTACTCACAGCCACCTCTGCTAGTTCAGGGCACTGTTGCCTCTACTCTATCGTCCCTAATTGCTCCCTCTGTCCCCTCCTTTCTCCTCTCCATCCTCTGACCCATTGATACCTACAGCTGACACACTAATAGTCCTGAAACCCCAGGCACTTGCCTACTCTGGAAGCTCCAGTGACTCCCTATCCCCTCTCTACCTTCTCTGCTTGGCATTCCAGCCTTCCCTAGTCTGGCTTCGGTCACACCACAGCCCACTGTGCATGCTAGGCTCCAGCCAGACCGCCTCCTAAATGCTCCTCGGTTCTACCAGCCTCTGGTCTCCCTCTCACTTCGACCTCACAGAATCCCGAGCTCCCTTACCTGTCAAACTGAGAGAGCCGCATCCGTCTCATCATCAAACTCAAATGACCTTGAAACCAACCAACTATTTACTAAGTGCTTACTGTGGCACTGTGCTAAATGCTGGAGATTCGAAGAAAAAGCAAAAACAGCTTTTGGCCGTGAAGAGCAGGCATTCTGATGGCATATTTGCATGTCGGCTATTTCTAAAAACTATTCTAGAGCCGCGTGCAGCTCGCTTTTCTTTGGGTTTTAATTGCATTGCGTTTCTCTCATTATTCTTCGGGCTCTGCTCCTGCCTCTCTTTCGCCGCCGTGCTCCAGCAGCCTTCTCACCCTGGAGGCTCACTCTGTCCCTGGGGCCCCCTTCTCTGATTGGTCAGTTCCATTGTGACTCAAGGAAACTTGCCCTGCAGACCCGTGGCTCCTCTGCGAGTTATATCATCTCTCAGCGCCCTCTAAATTCTCTAAGGCAATGCATTCTCAGCTCGAGGTCTGTGGATTTATTTTTAATGGATTTCAATAGTTATGTTTCAATGTAATTCGTTTCTTTTTTACTTTTTTTCTTCCTCGGGTCTCAGTCTGCTCTCAGCACACTCTTGCAGTCCTATGTGTTTGATCTTACGCATTTAAAAACATTCTGGGAAGGAGTTCCATTGGCTTCCCCAGCCAGCCAAAGTCTCTAGGACACAAAAGCAGTCTTTCTTCAAGACCATCAGGTGGGCAGGCGTGGGTCTGATTTGATAGAGGAAGCTTTCTCACCAGAAGTTTCCCACACCCAAGAAATCACAGGTCCAGTCACAAATGAAAACAGGTAAAATGAAAATAAAATAAAATCTCTTTAGCAGCCAATGTCCTCTAGATGGCGCTCTGTCGATATGTAAAAGGCACTAACACCTTTCAGCACGTAGCGGTATTTTTCTTAAAGGTTGGCCAGGCACCCACGCCACGCTCCTCGTTTTATTGGCCCACCATGGCTCTGTAACTTTTTATATGAGCCTGGGCACTTTTCCTTCGCCAGAAAGATGTTTAATTCAGCACTAGCAAAGGTCTACTCCCAAGGATAGGGCCGATGTTTTACCAATTATGCCTGTTGATAAAAATCAAAGGCTTGGGAAAAGCTGGAGGGGTCAACTAGTCCAGACCACTGCCTCCGGGCAGGACCACACAGGCACCAGCCATGGAGACAGGAGATTCTAGCCTCTTTTTTTGTTTTAAAGACTTCCAGACATCAGTGTAAATACCAAGAGAGCAGCCCTTAATTTAGACCAGGGATCTTAGGAGCTAAGCTCACCTCCCTTCCTTCCCCTGGGGGGGTAGGAGGAGAGAGGGTTTTCCAAGTCTTCTCTCTCCTGTAAACAGCCTCGTGTTCCCCCACTCCGGGCTGGTATTCAAAGAGAGGAACACCTAGAGACAAAGGGAGCAGGCACAGACCCTTCCTAGTTATTACAGATCAGTTTAACTCAAATTCAGAAAAGAGAGAAATCAAAATGTTATTCTTCAGGCTTCAGCATGCTCCTCCCCCAGCTTTCTAGCTGCCCTTAATGGGTTTGCCTTCCCTCATTACAATACAAGCTCCCAGCTCCTCTTGAAGTGTTATCTTCCTGCCCCTTCCCCCATTAGAAGGCAAGCTCTTTAAAGGTATGGGCTGTCTGGCTTCTGATTGTATCCCCGGTGCCTGGTGCACAAAAAACCCTTGATAAATTTTGTCTGTGTCTCTGTCCCTCTCCAATGCCAAGGGGCCAGTAGGTGTATTTTCTGCCAATTGATAGAGACCACTACCTATCTCTGTTTGCCCATCCCATGAAACTCTTGTCCATGGCTTTTCATAAATGTTTTTTTTTTGAGTCATGGGATTATAAATTTAGAACTATATGAGACTTGGAGGCCATTAAGTCCAACCTGCTCATTTTACAGATGAAGAGACTAAGGCCTATCATGTTTGTGACTTGGCCAGAGTCCCAC